AACCAAGGAAACGCTTTAAGCGCCACCTGCTGGCAGAGAGTGAATCTGCGTCTCATTCAGCTCATCCGCTGTTTCATGCAGATATTTTTATTTATAGTTTCACAAAACTGAAGTCAAACCATTCTGTTTTTGCTTCAAATTTCGAAATTATACAATATAATTTAGATTAAAAACTGTTCATGTATGCAGCATCTTTGTTTGGATCAGATTAAAATGCAGTGGTTGCCTCTAATTTTAAACGGAAAGAGCACAGACAAAGGCTTAGTTTGTTTATATGAAGAGATTTATTTTATTTGTGTTACTTATATATTTGATTTGGGGCTTGTTTTAAAATTTCAATTTAGTTTTGTTATTTACATTTACATTATATTTAAATTTTGTTATTTAGCAGATGCTTTTATCCAAAGCGACTTACAAATGAGGACAATAGAAGCAATCAAAACCAACAAAAGGGCAATAATATGCAAGTGCTATATTAGTATATTATTATAGTCTTATATTTCAATTTCACAAAGAAACATGCAGCATTTTGTCCAAGCAATAATAAAAGGACACATTTAATTTATAATTTGTCTTAAATCTCATTTTGTAAAAAAAAAACCGTGAATCGAATCGAATCGTGAGTTGAGTGAATCGTTACATCCCTAACATTGACGCCGGTCCTGGATCGGGTTCAGCGCGAGCGGCTCCGGTGTGACTTCAGGAATATTTATAGGTGAATGTGAGTTTTAAGGAGAGAAGCTTGGGTTTTCTTCTGTCTGCCGCTGTGTCGGTTCAGTCACAGAATCACTGAAAGAATCAGAATCAAAATCATGCAGTGTTTTTCTGTTCTGAACTTTCATTTCACTTTTGCTACACAACCAGAATGAAAACACTCTCTGAAGAAGCTAGTGTTTGTCATGATGTCTGATTAAAGCCATTCGTTTGTGACCTCGCTCTGAATCCCAGATCTGACAGTCTTTATTTAAACTCCTTTTATTTTTTCCAAAATTCTATATTTTACATTTTATTAAATTTTTTTCTAGATTCTGTTTTAATGGTTTAATTACATTTTAATAATAAAAATCATTATTTTAAATAAGACATTAGACATTGAAGATTTTATCAATTGGAACAATAAAACTTTAACAATTTATTAATTATTTTAGAAAATTTTAACAATAATAGTTCCCTGTATAAAATGTGTGGTTTTTCAGGAATTCTTGAGTTAATCTGTGTTTTATGATTTAATACAAATTTATATTATCAAAGACAGTGGCAATCAAACGCATAACGATGTAATTAATGAACGAAATTTGAATAATTCACATTCTTTAATTTTTTTTCCAAAAAACAGGTTTATTGTTTAAATTAAAACATGGACAAAATAATTGTGATACGGTGTGATATTCCTCACAAAATTATGTTTTAATAAACAATATTATCATTAAATCATTATTATTGCTTTGAGAAGTGCATTCAGTAACACTTTACTTATAGCTTTTATATATAATGCATTATGAAAGTAGTTTTAATGCATTAATTATGTCTTGAAATGCACCTTATAATGCATTGTATGATCTCATGAATAATTGTAACCACAGTTATAATGCATTATAATACTAATCTATTCATTGTTACACCTTTAGAAAGTATAATGCATTAAAACACACGACAAACAAACCTTCACGTATTATAATGCTTTTACAATTATTTCTGAAAAGATACAATGCATTATGAATATGAATACCTTTATAATGTATAATGATTCTCGTAGAAATGTGTTGGAACGTTTGCTCCACTCGAATCCCAGTTTCTGCCATATTTATCTGTTTGTCTAAAAACTCACAGTGGTGTTGAGAAACGCTTTTGGGTAGAATTACATGATCTTAAGAGTGTGAAGTCCAGGAGTTTTTCTGGTGAAATGGCCTGATGTTTTGAGAGGGTCGTTCCTCATGAGCTGCTGTCAGAGATCTGGACGTGTTTCTGTGTGATCTGATGGACGCAGTGGTGACTCTCAGCAGACTGTGTCTATTCGATGAAAACGACAGAGATTGAGCCCAGCTGGGAAATGTGGGACAGAGATGCTGGAGCGTTCAGTAGAGCTGCTATCGGAGGTATTTCTGACTCACATTTGGCTCTGCTCGTGACTTTCAGCCTGCGATCGGAGCTGAGTCGTGTTTTGTTCTGCCGTTGTTGTTGTGTTCTGTTGTCATGTGTTCAGCGACTGGACCGAGTCCCAACATAATCTGCTCACAAGCTGAAGAACGAATCATAGGCTGAAGCTGCATTTCTCTCTCTCTTTGAGTGAAGGTGCAGCATTGATTCATGTGCTTCTGATCTGCTGCTTCTTCTCTAATACTGCAGGAATGTGTGTGCATGTTACGCTGTGATCAAACCCAAACTTCATTGAACATTAGTCCTGGTCTGGTCTGGTGTATTATTCTTGGTGTAGTCTGGTGTGTGTGTGTGTGTGCGTGTGCGAGAGTGAGTGAGTGTGTGTGTGTGTTCTAGTCTGGTCTGGTGTGTGTGTGCGTGTGCGAGAGTGAGTGAGTGTGTGTGTGTGTTCTAGTCTGGTCTGGTGTGTGTGTGCGTGTGCGAGAGTGAGTGAGTGTGTGTGTGTGTTCTAGTCTGGTCTGGTGTGTGTGTGCGTGTGCGAGAGTGAGTGAGTGTGTGTGTGTGTTCTAGTCTGGTCTGGTGTGTGTGTGCGTGTGCGAGAGTGAGTGAGTGTGTGTGTGTGTTCTAGTCTGGTCTGGTGTGTGTGTGCGTGTGCGAGAGTGAGTGAGTGTGTGTGTGTGTTCTAGTCTGGTCTGGTGTGTGTGTGCGTGTGCGAGAGTGAGTGAGTGTGTGTGTGTGTTCTAGTCTGGTCTGGTGTGTGTGTGCGTGTGCGAGAGTGAGTGAGTGTGTGTGTGTGTTCTAGTCTGGTCTGGTGTGTGTGTGCGTGTGCGAGAGTGAGTGAGTGTGTGTGTGTGTTCTAGTCTGGTCTGGTGTGTGTGTGCGTGTGCGAGAGTGAGTGAGTGTGTGTGTGTGTTCTAGTCTGGTCTGGTGTGTGTGTGCGTGTGCGAGAGTGAGTGAGTGTGTGTGTGTGTTCTAGTCTGGTCTGGTGTGTGTGTGCGTGTGCGAGAGTGAGTGAGTGTGTGTGTGTGTTCTAGTCTGGTCTGGTGTGTGTGTGCGTGTGCGAGAGTGAGTGAGTGTGTGTGTGTGTTCTAGTCTGGTCTGGTGTGTGTGTGCGTGTGCGAGAGTGAGTGAGTGTGTGTGTGTGTTCTAGTCTGGTCTGGTGTGTGTGTGCGTGTGCGAGAGTGAGTGAGTGTGTGTGTGTGTTCTAGTCTGGTCTGGTGTGTGTGTGCGTGTGCGAGAGTGAGTGAGTGTGTGTGTGTGTTCTAGTCTGGTCTGGTGTGTGTGTGCGTGTGCGAGAGTGAGTGAGTGTGTGTGTGTGTTCTAGTCTGGTCTGGTGTGTGTGTGCGTGTGCGAGAGTGAGTGAGTGTGTGTGTGTGTTCTAGTCTGGTCTGGTGTGTGTGTGCGTGTGCGAGAGTGAGTGAGTGTGTGTGTGTGTTCTAGTCTGGTCTGGTGTGTGTGTGCGTGTGCGAGAGTGAGTGAGTGTGTGTGTGTGTTCTAGTCTGGTCTGGTGTGTGTGTGCGTGTGCGAGAGTGAGTGAGTGTGTGTGTGTGTTCTAGTCTGGTCTGGTGTGTGTGTGCGTGTGCGAGAGTGAGTGAGTGTGTGTGTGTGTTCTAGTCTGGTCTGGTGTGTGTGTGCGTGTGCGAGAGTGAGTGAGTGTGTGTGTGTGTTCTAGTCTGGTCTGGTGTGTGTGTGCGTGTGTTCTGGTCTGGTCTGATCTGGTGTGTGTTCTGGTCTGGTCTTATCTGGTGTGTGTGTGTTCTGGTCTGGTCTGGTCTGGTCTGGTATGTGTGTGTGTGTTCTGGTCAGGTCTGGTCTGGTATGTGTGTCTGTGTTCTGGTCTGGTCTGGTGTGTGTTCTGGTCTGGTCTGATCTGGTGTGTGTTCTGGTCTGGTCTGATCTGGTGTGTGTTCTGGTCTGGTATTATCTGGTGTGTGTTTGTGTTCTGGTCTGGTCTGGTGTGTGTGTGTCCTGGTCTGCTCTGGTCTGGTATGTGTGTGTGTGTTCTGGTCAGGTCTGGTCTGGTATGTGTGTCTGTGTTCTGGTCTGGTCTGGTGTGTGTTCTGGTCTGGTCTGATCTGGTGTGTGTTCTGGTCTGGTCTGATCTGGTGTGTGTTCTGGTCTGGTATTATCTGGTGTGTGTTTGTGTTCTGGTCTGGTCTGGTGTGTGTGTGTCCTGGTCTGCTCTGGTCTGGTATGTGTGTGTGTGTTCTGGTCAGGTCTGGTCTGGTATGTGTGTGTGTGTGTTCTGGTCTGGTCTGATCTGGTGTGTGTTCTGGTCTGGTCTTATCTGGTGTGTGTTTGTGTTCTGGTCTGGTCTTCTGGCTCTGTTCCTGCTTCCACGTGGCACTGACCGAACGTCCAGAGCTCTTCTGACTCTGTGTCTCATTCAGTCTCTGCTTTCATAAGAGAGACGCCAGTTTCCAGACCGAGCATTACACAGCCTTCAGGAAGACTTCTGAAAATGAACATTTACATATCAGTCAACATTTACATATACACTATATTTCAGTTGTAGTTATTTTAGTGAAAGTGATGGTGATTTATGCTTTGTTTAGGATGTGAATCATTTCAGCTCTGCTCTCCTCTATCAGTGGACTCTCACCACAGTAAATATAGTAACATTTATAAGTGTGTATATTGAGGTCAAACAACACATTCAGTCATAAAAAGTTCAGTTCAGTTTATCAAACCCAAAACTGTGCCTGTTTTGAATCTGACTCGAGTTCATAACGCTGTGCTTTATGATGGACGGTGGTCAAACGTCACGTGAGAACACTAGACGGTCCGTCATTTCAAAAACAAACGTGTATTTAGTGTTCGTCAGGGCCAGTAAACCAGTGCGAGAATGAGCCTTCTGAATCCAGCATGTTTGTTTAGATCCCATGATGCATTTCACTGCATTCATATACAGACAGAACAGCAGAAGAACCACAGCTGCCTTCAGATCAGAGCTATTATAGTTCACTAAAACTAAAACCATAAAAACAGCAACTTTTGCTACTGTATTTATTTACTTATTTATGTTTGAAATAAACAGTAACTAAAAAAAAATAAAGAAAAATAAAATGGAAAATAATTTCAGTTAGTTGCCAGGGCAACATTTCTCATTTCCATTTAACTTGATGTACTAAAATAACTTTTAGTAATTTTTTAAAATACTTTTTTAAATTAAAAATTGATCTAAAAATAAAATTATAAAGCCATATACATTAAAAAAATATTAAAAATTAAAAACAGCAAAATAAATAAAACTAAGTTAAATGAAAATAAAAATGGAAAATACAAAAGTAACAAAAAAAATTCAAAATATTAATAAAAAACTTTAATAGTATCTCAATTATTCTAAAATAACACTTATGCAGACAAGCTCATTAGCTCATGAGAGCTTAAAACGATGTCAGTCAAAGAGACTAAACAGGAAGTGACATCAGTGACTGCGTATCCTCATTAATGAGCTGAATGTTATTTATTTAACCAACTATATGACAACCACTGTCCTCTAATCCTTCATCTAATGCAACAGCTTGTAATTCATTTTTAATTATTTTACATGCAGTTTTTATGGGCTCATCAAACATTTGTATGCTCATAAACTCAGGTCACACTGATATAAATGTCAGACAGAAATATAAATGATGATGTTGTTTTCATATTTGTGTATTTCATTTCACAGTACACTTGAACTCAGTGTTGTGTGACGTTTATCAGTGGATGTTCTGGAGCTTATATTGATGCCTTTGGCAGATGATTTTATCGAAGGCTCCTGCATCGCTCTGCTGATGGTGTTGTTCATGTCATGTTTGAGCTTTATGTCTGCAGTCGCACAGTCACAGGAGAATCCTGCAGCTCAGAACTCTGATTCGCTCTAGTTTTCTGTGCTTTTGGATTTCAGAATCTACTTCTTTCAGGCTTTTGCCTCATTTGACTCCAGATCCAAACCAGCCCAGAGTTCGGCTGTATCAGGATGCGTTCACACACACACACACACACACACACACACACACAAACACACACACACACACACACACAC